CTGCGTGGTCCAGAGCTGGGAGACCTGGGAAGTTGGAAGTGTTGGAAAGGCAGGGCTGGTGGGGATGGGGAGGTGGGGATCCAGCTGCTGGGCATTTCTCCCCTGTCCCCAGATGTCCCAGGGTGATGGGAGGGTGTGGGTGGCCAGGCAAGCCCCGCTGCTCATCCCATCTGCCAGGGCTGCGGGCAGGGCAGGGCGCACAGCCTCTGTCCCATCGGCCACATGCTTCTGGCCTTAGCAAGCGGCCGGAGAGGAAAGAGCTGCAAACAGCTTCTTGCATCTTGCCACCTGGCAATATTTCAGGGTCAGAGGAAGAGCTCTGCCCGGGGGGGGGTGACACTTATGTAAAGTGGTTGGGACTTTTCCAGTATGGGACAGACACATCCTTGCTGCCAGAGCCTGGCAAAGCCCCTGTGCCAGCCCCATGGTGCAGGGCAGCCTCCTACCACGACCCCCTTCTGCAACCAGCTCTGGTGAGACATTTGCCTGCAGGGTCAGGATCGGGCTTGGGGGGAGTTGATCTGCTTTAATGTGTGGCTGTAAGTGGATTTCTTGGAGAGTAATGCTTAAATAAAAGGGGTTATACAATGCGTCTGGAGCAGGGGGTTGGGGCGATGGAGGCAGAAGGTCCTTTCTCCACTGGCGTTTCTATGACAGCAGTCAACTCTCCTTCCGCAAGGCAGACACTTATTCATCGCCCGCTGCAAGACAAGTGCCAGAGGTTCAGGGTATGCCTGGAACCAAAGGATTTCTTGGAGAGTAATGCTTAAATAAAAGGGGTTATACAATGCGTCTGGAGCAGGGGGTTGGGGCGATGGAGGCAGAAGGTCCTTTCTCCACTGGCGTTTCTATGACAGCAGTCAACTCTCCTTCCGCAAGGCAGACACTTATTCATCGCCCGCTGCAAGACAAGTGCCAGAGGTTCAGGGTATGCCTGGAACCAAAGGACTGAGCGGGCCGGCCGATCCTGGTGCAGAAAGCCAGCAGAAAGCAGGTGCCTTTATGCAACCTCCCGAGGCATCCGTCTCATACCCTGCGCACCGTCCTTCAACGCAACTGCACATGCACGGTTCTCTAGTACTGTTTTCCTTGTTGCCAGGCGTTTGTCTGATTGGGATGTACAATTACATATCTCTTTTTTGAAAAGCCTCTGTGAGTATAAAGAGGAAACAATGCAAGCTCTGTCCTCCGTTTTCCCTGCACACTCCATTCCCTGAAGGACAAGGGAAGTCCGGCTTAGGGTAATGGGGAAATTGCAGTCACTGCATTGCTCCTGTAAACCTGCGCTTGCTGGTGCTGCTCAGGCTCAGCCACATGGGTGGTGCTTTTGGGATGTGTTTTCCAACTCCTGCAGCCTGCAGACCACTTTCAGGCTGCACAACTTCTTACGGGTTCCCCTTCACTTTCAAACATAACCACTGATAAATGTCTGACCCATGAGAATGTTGTGTTGTTTTTTTTCTTTTTCTTGTGGTTCAGCATCGCACGGTGGGCCAGTTAGCAGTGCCCCGGCTCAGCCCAGCCTGCAGAACAGCTCTCTTTGCTTGGGAGAAAAGAAATTGTCAACTTTTTATCTTCTGTTTTTCTAAGGGAACGAAAAAAATGCACTGTAACACGTAACACAGGAGGCCTCCCAACATGCCTGGAGCCGGGAGGCCAGGGAGCACTATCAGTCACTCATCAGCTGCCGGGGCTGCCAGCTGGCTTACATCGCTAATGTCTAATGATATCATAGATCAAAAATAGCTGCAGCAGCAGAGAAATCCAGAATTCATAGCCTCATTTTACACATCTTTTTTTCACCAAATCAGTCGCTTTATTGCCAGGCTGTGCAAATGTTCGAATGGGTTTACCCACATGGAAAATAAGCCTCTAGACTTTGCACTCATTTGTTCATCCCTACCTGTCATTAGAGACTGGAATATTTTATCTCTGGATGTGTGCTTGTGGGATGGGGTACCGAGCAGCAAGTTCCCACATTTCCTGACTTGAGCCCTAAGGTCCTGGCTAATGTTATAAATGAAAATAAGCTTGGAGGGATCAGGTGTTGCTTTGTTGTGTAACTCAGCGTGGCCAGTGCAGCCTTGGTGCAGGGGTGGCTGGGCTTAGGCTGGGCTTAGGCTGGGCTTGGGCTCTCTGCCGCTCTCAGGGTTATGGTGGCACCAGGTAGAGAGCGAGGTCTCCCTGTGCTCCAGGCTATGCATGGGGGACAAGGAGGGAGAGCTTCCTCCTCCGTGGTAAGAGGTGGTGGGTACCTGGGCATGGTGACAGCGGAGGCAGGCAGGGGTGCAGGCAGATGCTGGCTTCCTGCACCCTGCTGTCCTCGAACTGGTAGTCTGGATGTGCAGTTTGCTGGCAGAGCTGCATCAGCACAGTGTTTGAACTGGGGCAGGAGGAAAGGCTGCTGGGGTTGGGAGCACGGGAGACATGCTCAGCAGTGATGTCTCCTGATGATCACTGATCGGCTGCTGATCAGGCCCCTGGATCCGACTTGTCCTGGAGGGAGCTACTCACCCTTCAGCAAAGTGATGTTGCCCATGCCACTTTGCCACAGTAAATGCAACACCAGTGCCTGCAAGTGGTGCCTAATTTAGGATACAAGGTTGGCTTCAGAGCCAGTATCCTGCAGGGCCACCACACATGCTACCTGTGCTGGACCTACCATCATCCCATGGGAAGCTGGGAGCCAGCAGGGACCTGTGTGACACTGGAGACCTCCCCAAAGGGGCTGAGGAGGAGCGAGTCCCTGACCCCAGCCCTCAGCACCCATCGGGTGATGCTCAGTGCTAGGGAGCACGCATGGCTGGGTGCACAGACCCATTGCCTTAGCTGGAAAGCCAGCACAGCACTGGATGTAGGTCACCTCCACGGCGAGCTGTGATATAATGAGGTGGGTCTGGGAATCTCTGCAGTTCAAACCCACAAACATTACCACACCTGGTTACCCCATGAGTGTGGGCTTTTGGGGTGCTGCTTGCTCGTACTCCCTGACATCCCCCACCCCAATTCCCCTGCTGGCAGTGCTGGTAGGAAGGAAGGTCTTTATGGGGTTTCCCTGAGGCAGGACAGAAGAGGGTCTCACTGCCTGTTATTTAGGAGCAGGCAGGAGTGTGTGGGGCACCCAGCACTGTGACACTTGGGGTG